GTAAATTCTATGATAACAGTTTTTGTCATCAATTATTATCTTATCACCAACGATAATAATATGATAATGATGTTAATAATGATTCTAAACATTTTCTTAAATTTCAATACACCTAAGTGGCCATTGATAATTATTACTTAAATATGCAACTTTTATTGTAATTAACATTCAATAATTTATTATACGAAATTTTGTAAATTCTATGATAGCAGTTTTTTTTAACAATCATTATCTTATCACAAATGATAATAATGTTGATAATGATTCTAAAAATTTTCTTAAATTTCAATAAGCTTAAAAGTGAGCTATTTTTCCACAAAATCTTTTCTGTCTCGAATTTCCTTGTTAATTTCAAAATTAGAAACTTTTTTTGGGGCTTATCTATAGATACACTTCCGTCAATTTAGTCTTCAATTTAGTTATATTTTATTTCTAACATTACAACAATAAAATTTGCTACTATTCTTTAACTTTAAATGAACCTGTATAGGACTGATAAGGAAGTTAATTATGCTTCAATTGTTCGCTCACTTTTGCTTTCAGAAATGATATGTGATTATGGTATGAAATGGATAATCATTTTATTTCGTTGAAATGTTTTTAGAGCTAAATTGTAAAAGGTTACCATTTTCCGTTACTGATGATTTCAAATATCTGAAATTTTCTTTCTCGTTCTTCTACTACTACCACTATTACAATCACCACAAGTATCACCAATACCACTATTACCATCTACTATTATTACGACTATTACAATTACCATAAGTATCACCAATATCACTAGTACCACTTACTACTACTACGACTATTACAATCACCACAAGTATCATCAATATCACTAGTACCACCTACTACTACTACTACTACTACTACGACTATTACAATTATCATAAGTATCACCAATATCACTAGTACCACTTACTACTACAATTATTACAATCACCACAAATATCATCAATATCACTAGTATCACGATAATTCTTTAATGTTATAATTGACACCGATAATTACCAATTAATTTATTAATCTTTTTTTTTGTTGAAATTAAATTTTCGGTGTTTATTAGCAAAAAAAAGAAATATTGCATTAAAATGCGTCTGCTGTCAGTTAAAGTCTATTAGAACAAAAATTTTAAGAGAGTGATATGTAAAAAGAAAAGCTAAATGTTGTTTAAAAATTCTGTCAGATTGTCAATAAATTAATTTGTTAATTTAATTCGTTACAGTATCCTATTATTCTTTAACTTAATTTCTCTCTCTCTCTCTCTCTTCCTCTCTTAAATTTACTATACTAATAATAAAAAAAGTGTAGTATATTTTTCTAAAACAAGTTTATCATCTCTCTTCTACCATCTCTCTTCTCAACCTAAAAAAAGTCATTTTAAACTAATAATTTGTTAATTTAATTAATCACAGTATCCTTGACTTTTGTGCGTTATTATTGTATTAAAAAAAATTTTTTTCCTTATCCTAAAATCCCAAAATTTTTTCTTATCCTAAAATATCCTAAAATCCCTAAAATTTGTTTCTTTAATTTCACAAATATTCTCTTCGCTCTCTTCTCTTTTTACTCTCACAGATTTCAATTTTAAATTTATATCACGATAGTATGTAAATTATATCGAAAAAAATAATTAAACATTGATATAGAGAATTAATTAATTTATTGATCATTATTTTTTTTATTCATTATTTTTGTTGCACAACTAATTATCAGCTATTGAAAGATTGAAAATGATATGAGTGATTGAAAGATTGGAAATAATATGATTGATTGAAAGATTGGAAAAGATATGATTGATTGCAAGATTGGAAATGATATGTATTGAAAGACTGGAGACGAATAGTTATTAGCTATTGAAAGAATGGAATTGATATGAGTTATTAACAAATTGAAAGTGATATGAGTTATTGAAAGATTGGAAATGATATGAGCTATTGAAAGATTGAAATTGATATGAGTTATTGAAAGATTAGTAATGATTAGTTATCAGTTATTGAAAGATTAAAAATGTTCATTATCACATTTGTTTTTATCTGTTTATTCCAATCTTATCATCACTCTCTCTAAAATGATAGTCAATTTTACTCCATCAGACATCAATAATATTAATAATAATTTTTTAAAGTAATTTATCAAATTGTTTTCATCCATTTCAAATCTTTCATATTTACGCAATTATTTTCTACGATAAAAAACTTCATCCTTTCCATGATTTACAAATTGCTTGCTTAGGAATAAAGCTAAAATAGGATGGAAATAAAATTTAAATTTTTCCACTATAAAATTAAGCAATTTTTTAATTGCATTAGTATTAATTTAATTTAAATATAAAAAATTAATTAAATAAAATTTAATCTGAATTGAATTCAAATTGGTATCAGTACTAATTTAACCTAATTTAAATTTGAATTAAATATTAAAGATTAATTAAATATAATTTAATTTGAATTGAATTCAAATTGAATTTAAGCTTGAATTAAATATAAAAGATTAGTTAAATAAAATTTAATTTGAATTGAATTCGAATTGACATCAATGCTAATTTAAATTTATATTACATGTAAAAAATTAATTAAGTAAGATTTAATTTGAATTGATTAATTTAATTTAAATTTAAGTACTAATTTAATTTAATTTAACTTTGAATTGAATATAAAAAATTAATTAAATGAAGTTTAATTTGAATTGAATTCAAATTGAATTTAAATTTGAATTTAATATAAAAGATTAATTGAATATAAATTAATTTGAATTGAATTTAATTCAAATTAGCATCAGTATTAATTTAATTTAATTTAAATTTGAATTGAATTGCATAATTATAAATTAGGAAAATTAAGAGTTAAAAAAAAATTTCTATTTTCAATAAAATATAATATATTGGAAATAAAATTATTGCTTTGAAGATTTATTTTCTAAAAAGCAACGATCGAAATTGAAAAAAAATAGGTGGAGCAATGATATCGCGATATACTTAATGCATTCGGATATCCATTTATCCGATATCGTCGTCGTATGGAATAATTATTATTTCAATTCCTGAAAATACTGGTTTTTCTTTTCCGGATGATTGATTCTTTTAGTTATCAACGGAAAATTCTATACTTTCAAAAATTATTTTTGTAGTACTCTTTCCTATTAATTTGAAAATAATGCAATCCGTTTTTTTTCTTTTGTGATAACATTTACTGTTTCATTAACTTCATTAATATACATTATAGATTATGGATTTCTGATTAGTTTGATCAACAATTTCAATAATTAATTTGATCGATAATTTCTGATAGTGATATACCTTGTGAAATTTCTAATTAGTATTTGATTAATAATTAATTGAAAATTCGATTAGTGAAAAAGTTATGAAATTCCTGATTAGTTTAATCAATAATTTCTGGCATTAATATACTTAATGAATTTCTAATTAGTATTTGATTAATAATTAATTGAAAATTCGATTAGTGAAGAAGCTATGGAATTTCTGATTAGCTTGATCAATAATTTCAATAATTAATTTAATCAATAATTACTGACAAAATAATTAATATTTGATTAATAATTAATTGAAAATTCGATCAGTGAAGAAATTAGACTTTCTAACTAAATGCTTTTTCTTTTATCAAATATTATATTTGAATTTGTAATCAAAATACTCATTTATTTTATTCTTTGAAAATGAACAATTTTGAAATTATATATTTGCTAAAAATAAATTACTTCCTACTAAAACATTCATCTGATACATATCGATCATTTATTGACAAATTTTGTTACAAATTTCACTGATTTAATTTATTCCTCCGCATTTTCCTATCCAACTAACAAACGCTTTTTTATCTTTTCTCTCTATCTTTCAATTTAGAAATTTTGTTGTTATATCATCGAAATTTACTTTGTGTCGAATAATTTCATTTTAATTCAATTCTACTCATTTCATCTTCCTCTATTTCAATTTTCAGCATTATCATTCAATTTAATAAAAATATGAAGAAATGCCGAAATTGATAGTTTATAAAGAATTCATCGAGAAATGCAGAAATGCCGAAATTGATTGGATAGTTAATTTAGGTTTCCTCCCAGTTTTAGGATTATAATTTTTCAAATTGGCCAATAATGCATTTAGTTTTATAATCATTCATAATCAATTTTAATTGTTAATAAAGCAATCAACCATTAAATGTAAATATCTGATTGAAAGTTAAATTTACAATGGTATATAGCTAGATATTCTTTTTTTTAACAGAGAGAGAGAGAGGGAGGGAGAGAGAGGGGGAGAGAAAATTGGATATTATTAGGATAATATAAAATGGATGAATTCCTGATTGACGATATCTTACACGATTATTTTTCAATTTGAAAAAGCTTTTAAAAATGATTGCTAATTTATCAATTCTTATTTTATCTTTTAGCAACTTCAATTATTTGTGTAAAGTAAGATAGCATATGTTTAGATGTGATTACTATTTGTTGCTTATATCATTGTGGTGATATATATGTATCATCCAAAAAAAGAAATTAGTGTAATATAATAATTTGTTGTAGAAAAAAACAAATATGGTAAATTGAAAAAAGAAGAAGTGGTGCATACAATGACGAAATTGCTGACACTTTTCAGCTTTGCATTACTATTATTTCAAGTAAGTGATAATTAATTAGGAAGTTAAATTGATTGTGATTATTTCAATTATTTGAATATAAAATGATGATAATTTAACTTTTAAAGAGGGAAATTCCAGGCTTTAAATGATTTTTTACTTGTTTATATTATTTTATTTTTAAATCATTGTTTCAAAAAAATTAATTAATTAATTTTATATTATTATCGTACTTGTTGTGTCGTAAATTATCACATCAGCGTTGTATTCAATTAAGATAAATAAAAAAAACAAAAAATTAATTCGTATATTTATGCTAATTATGAAAAGTTAATTCTTGCAATTTTTATTTACTTTTAAATATTCTAAGATTTCAGCAAATCAGTACGAATTATGGTGATCAAAAGAAATCAATAGTGGAATTGCGAATACGTGATGGTATGATACGTGGTTATGAATCCGTTATGCTTGGCAAACGTGTTCGATCATTTCTTAATGTTCCATTCGCAGAACCACCAGTTGGTGATAACCGTTTTCGACCACCAATACCAAAAAAACCATGGAAAGATGTTATTGATGCTACTATTCTATCACCTGCATGCTATCAAGTAACTCATTTGATTCATTCTAAAATGAATGATTGTATAAATTAAAATATTCCTTCACTCTAATTTAAACCATTTAATTACTCTTTAATTTTCTATATTTTTTCGCTTTTCTCTTTATCATTTTATCATTTATCATTTAATGATTATTTCATATATTCTACTCATACTTTCCTACAGCATGTTACTAATAAGCTTTCTGCTGATAAGTATCTGTATAAGCTTCCTGAAAAAAAAAAAACGGCTATGTCTGATTTAAATCATTACCATTTTACTGATCATCTTCTTATTAATTATTGGTGTAGAATTCTAGCTGACTAATTGTCAACATTTGTTTTTATTTTTATCTTTTCATAAATTTTGTAAAAAATGTGGTAATTTCCTATCATTCAATATTTGTGGGAATTTCTTCATTTTTTATTTTGTTTGATTCAAAATTAATAAATTTCTTTTTTTTTAATTTTACAAAAATTTGAAGAATTCAACTTTTAATATATTTGCTTGTAAAATAACAAATCGTTTAGTAAAAATGTTGTAGGGTCGCGATACATATAATGAAACATTTTGGGGTTCCGAAATGTGGAATCCTAATACACCAGTTCAGGAAGATTGCCTACGATTAAATATTTGGACACCAGCCGATGCAGAGTAAGTAAATCTTTTTATAGTTAATTTTAGTTTATTGATAAACTATTATTTAGTTCTTAATTTTTTGAATGCTTACAAAACTTATATAAACTATAAACTTTTTCTCTCTCTCTCTCTCTCTCTCATTTTTGTATAGCGCTTATAAAAAATTTCAAATATACCAGAAATTATTGATTGATCAATTGATTTATATAAATTTACAAATGTTACTTCTTTACTAATACTTGAAAAACTTTTTTAAGATTAAATCTATTGTGCAATTTTTTAGCAATTTAACCACAATGGTTTGGCTATTTGGTGGTGGCTATTATTCGGGTAGTCCATCATTAATTTTATATGATGGAAAAGCTATGGCAGTTACAAGTAATGTTGTTGTTGTAAACATTAATTATCGTCTTGGACCATTTGGCTATCTATATTTCGATCATAATGATGTTCCAGGTAATATGGGAATGTTAGATCAGGTTTGTTCATTCATTTTTCAACACTTTGAATTCTCACATTTGAATTTTATCTCTTATTTTTTTGTTTTAATTTATTTAAAGTATTTTATTTGAATTTATATAATTTCTAATTATAAATAAGAACTTAAAACAAACTAAAAAATATGTCAAATTTTTAATGACATAAAATTTTCAGCAATTAGCACTTATTTGGATTCGAGATAATATCATTTCATTTGGGGGAAATCCCTCTCAAGTTACATTATTTGGTGAATCAGCTGGTGCAGCATCTATTGTTGCACATTTAATTGCTCCGGGAAGTCAGGGTCTATTCAAACGTGGCATCCTACAATCCGGTAGTCTGGACAACAAATGGTCATTGGATTCACCTCAACATGCTATGAACAAAAGTATTGCATTGGCTAGGCATCACGGCTGTGAAATGGAAAAGGTAGAGTGTTTGATGAATTTATCAAATTTTTAAAATTTCTATTTAAAATTATAAGATATGAAATTATTTATTTACATTGTTAAAATATGGATTGTTTATAATTTTTAATTTATAATTATTAAAATATGTATTGGTGAGGCATTCCGGCTAGGCATCACGGTCTATTTAAAGTTATAAAATATGAATTATTTATTTAAATTGTTAAAATATAGGTTATTTATAATTTTTAATTTATAATTATTAAAATATGTATTGGTGAGGCATTCCGGCTAGGCATCACGGTCTATTTAAAGTTATAAAATATGAATTATTTATTTAAATTGTTAAAATATAGGTTATTTATAATTTATAATTGTTAAAATATGCACTGGCTAGGCATACACGGCATCACGGCTTATTTATAATTTATTTATAATACACCAATATCACGGCGAAAAAAAAAATGTTAAATTATATTCTGTTAATTTGTGCAATTAATCAATTAATGATTAAATGATGAAAAAATTACAACTTCATAAAAGAGTAGAAAAATTATATATACAAAATAGATACAATAGTTTATATAGATATCACAGTATTTACGTTTATATATACAACTTATTTATATATATTATTTACAACTTATTTATATATATTATTTACAACTTATATACAACTTATTTACATTTATATATATCTTATTTATAGTATATAGATATCATTTATTTACAGTATAATTAAGTTATATCGCAAAATGCTTAAAAGTTACGGTAGTAAAAAGATAAATTTTAAAATTGAATTAAATAAATTTAGTAAGCATTCGGAAAAAAAAGGGAAATAATAAAAAGCGTAAAATAATTTTTTCAACTTCTAATTAAATTAAAAAATTTGAATTCATTATTTTGTTTACAATTATTGATGAAATTAAAGTTCAAAATGATTCATAGCGGTAATTAATTTTAATTGTGTAAATTGCTAAATTAAAATGATATATTTGTAATCATTTAGATAATTGATACTATTAAATGTCTTAAATCAATATCAGCTGCAAAATTAATTGATGGTATGTGGAATAATTTGGCATTTTTGGAATTTCCATTTGTAATTGTTTCGAAGGATCGTAATTTTTTCAAAGAATATGATGCATTAAAAGCACTACGAAATCGTAATCATAATATGGATGTTGATTTAATGATTGGTATTAATCATGATGAAGGTATTAATCCTATACGAAATTTGATCATTTTATTTGTTTGAAAAACATTCCTAATAATTTCTTGAAAAGATTATATTTCATACCCTAAAAATTATAGCTTATAAATGTTAATGGAAGAATGCTAAAAAAGGAAATATGAAATGATTTTTAAATCTTCAAGTATTTAAGTACTTGCAATAATTTTTGCAATTTCTGCATATAAAATAATTATTTATTCAATGCATAATGAATATTGATAAATGATTATTAGAAATTAAATAATTATAATTGGAAATGATTGTTTATCGGAAGTCTTTGCAAACACTTTCTCTATAATAGTACCAATTGTTTATTATATTAACAAGTTGAAATTACTGGAATTCATGAAATTTGATTTACAATTAAATGCAATAGAAAATTATTGTTTTAAGGTAATTATTGGAATATTTATTCTCTTCCGCAATATTTTGATAAGCCAGAACAACCTTTATTAAATCAAGATGATTTCTTGGATTGTATCAATATCGCATTTAAAGAGCAATCAAAGTTGGTTCGTCAAGCAGCTGCTTTCACTTATATGGATCGACAATGCAGCAATATCAGTCAGAAAAATAAATTTTATGCAGAACAGGTTTTATGGCTTAAGTTATTATACAACTTAAAATAATATATTTTTAGTCGTTTAAATAATAGATGCTATTAAATATCTAAAATCAATATCAGCTGCAAAATTAACTGATAATATGTGGAATAATTTGGTACTATTAAATCGATTGATTGATAATTATTTCAAATGTCTGTTAGAAATAAGCTTAGAAATAAGTTTGTTTATTTTTATATTTTTATCATAGATATTATTTTATTTGAGGTGTTTAAATTGGAACATAATCCTTCTTAAAGAATAATTCATTGATTAAGAATTTTTTCTTTATTTTTAAAATTGGAGTTTTTTTGTAAATTAATTGATTAAGTTGCAAACTTTTATCTAAACTAATAATTTTACCTTTAATTAATTATCTTTCATTATCTTTAATTATTATCTTTATCTATCTTAAAGTCATCCTTTTTTTCTTGGAATGAATCGTTTATCTGATAGTTCTTCTTAAATGATAATTCATAAACTATGAATTTAACACTATGAAATTATGCCGATACTCATAATTTTAATAAATCTGTTTTTTAGGTTAATCAAATGGTTGGTGATTATTTTTTTACATGTGATAGTATATGGCTTGCTGAACATATGAAAAATGGCAGTGGCAAAATTTACGTCTATTATTTTGATCAACGCTCCAGGTAAGCTTAAACAATTTACAGTTAATTCATCCAAACAGTTTACACTAATAAATATATCATTGAATCATCGTTTGTATGTATGAGAAGTGTTAATTTAAAAATAGGACTTTTTTATCACTGATAAATATTGCTAGTACTTGATGCTTTTTTGTGATTAATTTAAATTGTTTATTTAGATTGTTATCATTGCTAAAATCTTTTATTGATAGTGAAGGATAGAATAAAAATGATAATAGAATGATAACTGATAAATAAATAATAATTGAAATTACAGTGCTAATCCATGGCCTAAATGGGCAGGTGTCATGCATGGTTATGAAATTGAATTTGTATTCGGTGTACCACTCTATAATAGAACTGCTACTTATACCAATCAGGAACGTATTTTCAGTGGAAAAATATTGAAATATTGGACCAATTTTGCTAATTATGGGTTTGAATTTCTTTTGCTCTTTTAACCTTTTGAGAGAGAAAAAAGGAAGAACGTCAAGTATATTATCATTTTATATTATCATATTATCATTTCAATATAACATATCTAATGCTATGTTTGAAATAATATATGTTATGATTACGAAAGATTAATTCTAGGTTAAGTATATTGCTTCAAAAAGAAATATATGATTGATTAATATTTAACAGTTATTCAAAATTTCACTATAGAGAACCGGATTTCGGCGATAAAAATCACAATCGTTGGCCGGAATATCGTGAAACGGAAAAATGGATGTACCTACGTGCTGATACACAAAATAATCATTTCATTGAAAGACGGAAAAAAGAAGAATGTGAATTGTGGAGAAATGTAAAGGATTTAGAATTCACTAACTATTGTGAGTTATGCTATGATAAAGAAAATTATTCGAAAATTAATCATAATTAATTTTTTCAAAACAATAAAAATTAAGATAAAACTATAGAAATTTGATTCGAAAAAAAGAAGTAAAATTATTTGATAGGAAAAGAATATTATTATAGTCATACAACAATTTTCAACATTTAAGAGTAATTAGAATATTAGAAATATTTATTAATCCCATAAGAGTAATTAGAAGACAAAAATTAGAATAAAATTAATTGCCATCTTCTAATTACTCTTAAAATTCGAATTATTTGACAAAAAAAAAGGATGTTATTATAGCTATACAACAATTTTCAACATTTAAGAATAATTTGGTATATCCAAAAATTTTTATTAGTCTCATAAGAGTAATTTAAATTTTACGAGTAATTAGAAGATAAAAATTAGAATAAAAGTTAATTACCATCTTCTAATTACTCTTAAAATTCGAATTAGTTGATAAAAAAAAAGGAGGATGTTATTATAGCTATAATATTTGCAGTGAGAGAAAATAGTAGTGCCAGGCAATGGAAATCTTCGTATGGATTTACATTAGTTGTATTTCTTTTATTGCTCACAATTCAAACTATCAGGTGGTAATTTCATACTTTTATTTGTAGTATTTGTACTATATATTATCGATCACATTTATTAATTTCTTTTTTTGTACATTCCAATTTAATTTCAATTACGATACGGTATTTTTTTTCAATTGCGATACTATATTTTTTCAATTGCGATACTGTATTTTTTTCAACTGCTATACTGTATTTTTTCTTTCTTATATTTTTTTTATTAAATTTCTCCACTGTCCTAAAATTTACATCGATTTAATTTAATTCAATTTAATAATAGATGATATAAGACATGGAAGATTCAAAGATTAATCGGATCGGATCGGATCGGTTTTTTTTCCGTTTAGTTTTATAATTATTTTTGATTTTTTTCATATGATACATGATACATACGGTAAGCAAAGAATGATAGCGTTCGATATTTCAACGATCAATAATAATAAATGCCTATTAAATGTATTTTTAATTTTTTAATTTTAATTTTTTAATTTAATTTAATTATCAAATTCTAATTATAATTTTTTTTTCTAGCACTTATCTTTTTTGAAATTTCTAAATTTATTTTTGTAAACAATTTGTTGCTTAAATTNTTAAATTTAAGCTTTAAAATACTTTAAAATTTACTTTCAAATTTCTCAGTTGAACGTTTTTCAATTGTTTTAAAGTTTTTGTATCGCAAAAAATTTCTTTCTCAACCCTTTTTTCATAAAAAATGCTTTATTTTTCGTTTTCCTCTAAAATTTTCCCTTTTATTTTTTATGAATGTTTCGAACTTTCTTTTGTAAAATCCAACAAATTTAAGCCTAAAATTTCGTTTTCGCTAATTACGAAATTAATGAGGAAAAAAAATTCTTTTATTTTACCATCTATTTTTCATCCAAAATGAAAATAAATTTAGAGGAGGAAGACTAAAAGGCTTTTTTTCTCTATTATTGTTATTCATATATAATTAGTTGTAATTTCAGGCTTTCATAATTAATTGTTCATTTCATTATTGTAATGAATAATAATAGTGAAGACTAAAAGGCTTTTTCCCCTATTATTATTATTATTGATATAATTATTCTTAATTTCAGGCTTTCATAAATAATTGTTCATTTCATTTTTGTAATGAATAATAATAGTTAGGATACTTGCAATGAATAACAATATAATATAATTAGAAAATTTTTTTTGAAGTTAAAAAATTTTTTACAACTTTTTGGGAATTAATAATTCTTTTGGAATTATTTCATATTTTATATTTCAGGAATTAAAATGAGGAATTTTTAAATTTCTCTCTTTTGAAAATCGAATATCATTTTCTTATGTAAAATATATTTTGTGATTATATATTGCGCAATCTTAGTTTAAATCATATCATCCTCACTTCTATTAATATTTAAATTTGCAATTTTATATTTTCATGCATGTATCGGCGATCTGTTAGGCATGAAATTTTTCACGTCTTTTTAAAATGAAGAAGGCGCAATTTAAATTTTATCTGACAGATTTATATCAATTATTTAAAGGTATTTTTGTGATGTAAAAACAAAAGAGAGTAAGGTAAACAAAATGTTTTTTTTTTTTTCAAATACAATTACTCTTCAAATTTAAACTATGCTAATTAAAATATAATTAAATTAGCTTCGTTCTTTACCTTTATAATACTTTTTCAAATATAGTTATTTTTCAAATTTAAACTATGCTAATTAATTAGCTTCTTTCTTTATCATTATAATACTTCAAACAAAATCAATGAAATTTATCAGTAATGAATTAATGAATGATAGAATTTTGGCTTTTAAATTATTTGCGGGAATTATCAAAGAAATTTAAATGAAACAAAAAAAATTATTTAAATTAGCAAAATATAAAATGAATAAAATTAAGAAGAAGTAAAGTCATCGATAATACATTAAAATTATTGCTTCAAATAAATGACAAATACTATTGCAGTTAAAAATTTAAAAGTTACAATTTAAAATTCATAGATTACAATAACTTTTCTTAAGAGAGAGCAAAATGAACGACTGATAGGATTTGAGAGAGAGAGAGAGAGAGATTCTATGCACCAATTGCATTATTAATTGTGACAGAAAATACTTCACATTCACCATCAATTTCCAACATTTTAATATCATCTGGTGAGCCACGATGCGCAAATGTCGTAAAACGAACACCGTTGAAGAAAATTTGAAAACTGAATTTCTCATTGATAATCGTTATATCGGCACTGAAATAATAAATAAAAGAAAATAAACATTCATTCTTTTTATTTATTACTTAATCTATTAAAAGTAAATATTTGAATAATCTAAAAAATTATCCATCAAAATTGAAAATTTGAAAATGAGCAAAATTTGTTTTTGATATGAAAGATCAAATTTTTCATTAATACTTTTTGGCAACTTCTATTTCAACGGTAATAAGAAATTCTCAGTTTTTTTTTCCAATATAAATTTTATTTATAACTAATTCCTTTGTTTTATGGATAATTAAACTTCGGCAATTAATTATATAACGAAAGATATGATGATATATTAAATGATTGAAAAATTCTGGTAAATTTTAAAATTAAAAATGCTAAAAAAGTAAGCAAAGATAAAATTAACATTTCTCCTTTGGCGATCGGCATTCCACCTTCTCGTTCTTCTCGTCCCCACATATTATTCTCCATTGCATTTCGTACCACAGTACCCTCATTGAATCGAACCGATATTTGCATTGCATGCTTTCGATTATTGTTGTATAAATTGATATTAAATCGTTTGCCTAAAATTTAACATTCAATTTTCTTTTAATTTTTTAATTTGCAAAATTTCAAATGACATAATAAACTTGATTAAATGCCCATTTATACCTTCTAAATGCTTATTATCAGTACTTATTATCACCTTATCAGTTTCATTCTTTTATTCAAATAACTCTAATCAGTAAAATATTTCTTGCCAAATTTCATAATTTTCAACAAACTAACTGATAGATAATGTTTTAGAAATAAAATTTCCTATTTCTAATTTTATTATAGTAAACGCTATCATTTATCCATTTATATTAAACTCAGGTATAATATTATTATTGTTTGATAATTATGAAAAGATAAAAGTGTCCAGCATGATGTCCAGCATAACTGTAATTTACCAGTTGGAAGTACGGAAATATCCAATCGTCTTCCTGGGATAACTTCGGCGAGCGCTGTATATGGTATCGGATTCACTCGTCCACCGTAGTGGAATAATCGAAGATTGACCAAATCACCAGTGATCGATACATGATCCACCTAAAATAGCATTCACTTTGAAATCATTAATTCATTAAACAAAGAAGGAGGCTAATTGTATTCAACTTTAAATAATTCCATTGTTTTCGACTTTAAACTTTGAAAAAGTTTATAATTCTACATTCTTATTGTATATATAAGAGAGAAGTACCAATGAGGTGTAACGATTAATTTATGTGTTGTATAATTTTTTATGAATGAAACATCGATGATTAGAAAAGTATGGATTGATAAAAGTTAAAACTTTGACAAATTATCATAATTGCAAATTTCCATGTGAAATTTAATTATCTGAAAGATTACTGAAATTACCTACCCCATCTAGCGGTACCTGCCGTTCGAATGTACCAGCTTCCATTAGATTCGCAAATATCTGCATAATTGACATTAATTTAAATTCAAATGATAAATGATAAAAAAAGTTTATCATCGTAAGATGTTAATACTTTTAATAAATTTGTTAAGCCCAGATAATTCTTCATATCAAAATAATATTAATCCATCGGTAGCGTAATAATAATAGAAAGCTATATTCTACTACAATACCGAAAACTTCCTGCGTAAAAGTAATGCTTTTTCAAAGCTGTGTTTAATTTCAAAAGAGAACAGTTCCAAGGTTTACCTATTTAAATTATTGAATTAATTAAAAAAGTATTTGGTATGATATGAAAGTTATGATTATCATTTGCATATGACAAATTGGAAACAATTCATGCTTTTCAAAAAGTTCCATTTGAATTACCTGAAATAGATGCAAATTAAAAAAATCATACCTGATAATTATTATTAATAAGACGAATTCGAATATCAAAATTTGCATTTGGTTTGAAATAATTTTTAATTCGTTGCTCATTACTGCCCCAATTACCGCTCATATATGAATTGCAGACAATTTTTCCTGAAATAAATTCCTGGTAGATAAATTATATGAAGTAATGCTAAATGCTAAAGGTGAAATAAAATTACCTTCATCAAATCGGATACTGAGATGTAGCGGTAAGTCAGCATCTCTAGCTGCGCCTTTATGGAAATTAATATCGATTCTAGAATTAACTTAATTCAATTTATAAGTTTAGTTATTTAGTTCTTTAAAAAGAACCTTTTTTTTTAACGTATGGATTAATAATTAGTAATCATCAGAAAATATGGTATAGTTTAAAATAATCCTACTGAATTGTCTCTACGTTTTTAGGTAATTCATATACTTCCGATCTTGCATAACATTCTAGGAAATTCAGGAAATTCATATAGTTTCGGTTCTGCATATCATCTTAGGAAATTCAGGAAATTTATATAGTTCTGGTTTTGCATATCATTCTAGGAAATTCAGGAAATTCATATAGTTTCGGTTCTGCATATCATCCTAGGAAATTCAGGAAATTCATATACTTCCGGTTTTGCATATCATTCTAAGAAATTCAGGAAATTCATATACTTTTGATCTTGCATATCAATCTAGGAAATTCAGGAAATTCATATAGTTCCGGTTTTGCATATCATTCTAAAAACTATTACCATTTATAGTGTAATATTTTTTAGAATGATATGTATGCAATATTGAAGAATTTTTTGAAAATTACCAAAAAAAGAAAATGAAAAAAGATTTCTAAAATTTGAACGAAATATTTTCAAACCTCTTAGCATCGGGTTTTACCGTGCCAACTGCATGGATAGTTTGTCCTTCTTGAAATGGCTGACTTATTCGAGTTTTAAATGGCATCGCCTGCAACCAATAAACTGTCGTATTAAAAATATATAAGCTTAAAGAGTTCATTGATAATTTAAATTTCAAAAAATTTCCAATTACTTTTATTATTTAGCTGTCACTAATTAGCTATACGAAGAACATATATTTATATGATGAAAATGCCTCTTCTAAAGTTTAACTCAAAAAAGGCATTTTCTTCGTTTAACAAAACTTTAATGACATCAATGCAACAGCCTGGATGTTATTGTTGTTAAGATTTAAGCCTGATAATTTAAACTATATCAGTATAAAATTTTCATTTCTTATCAATGATAATAACAACAAGGTTAAAATGTAGTGGAAGCATTATTGTTGAAAATTATTCCACTTAATTTTTAGGATCCGGAATGAAAAAATTATTCAATTAGAATCGGAGTATAGATTTTACGGAACAGGAGAATATACTCCGGTTAAAATTGGTATAAATTCACAATATCATACTTACATATTCTCTTTCACCAATGAATTTCTTGTAGCTGTGTTCCCGCGATTGCTCATCTTCACTTAAGCATATCTCTAGCAACAGTAATCCAACTGATATTAACACTAAATTAATGCACATATAATCATTATCAAAAATTTGATAATAAAATTTAATTTAATCCTGAAAATTTTGCATCCAACGATAAATAAACAATAGTGATTATTAAGAAACTAAAAACAAAACAAATAAATTAAAAACTAAAAATAGAAATTTCATTTAAAAATATAGCTTTTGAATTAGGAAGATAATAGAGGAAATTATCAAATGTGATCGCTGGTTCAAACACCAACTTTGATCTAAAATAATTGTTATATGATAGCATTATCATTTTAATCATAAACGATTAACCCTTGTTTCATTTATATTATCACTCTTTATCCGTTCTCTAAAGTTATTTTCAAGTTAACTACTGCACCCCCAAAATATCCCTTTTATTGGAGGTAGAAACCGATCATGTATACCGAAGTTCCTCTCTTCTCGGAAAGGAGTTTTCGGTATACATAATCGGTTTGTCATGTCTATCATAATTGCAATAAATTTAAGTGTTCTATTAAATAAAGATCTCTCTTTCTGATCAATATTTGATCGCAAGAAAAATTTTTAAACTTTAAAATATGACATTCAGAAGTACTTCAAAGAGTTGAAAGATCAATTGAATGAATCATTTTGGAAAATTTCATTCCCATTTATTTCAAAGTTGCTGTAAATTTCAACATCATTTATTATTGCACTGATTTTTTCCGTTCCTTAAATTTGAAAAATATAATAGAAATGAGAATGATAAGGTGATAACTAACTGATATGTTTCATTTCATTTCTTTCTTTCCCTTATCTTTTTCATGCAACAAATATGGAAAACATTATATCAAATGAAATTTTACGTAACATGACAACTTTCTGGGAACTTAATTATTATTGAAAGAAGGAAAAGATTAACACTTACCTTGAATTATATTCTTCATTGTTAAACTCTGAAAAAAATTTGTGACAAATTTAAACGAAAAGAATCTGAGTTTTATCAGACAGGAAGTATCAGTGAATGATATCAACAATTTAACAAATTTCATTTTATTATTACAACGAAAAGTTGTAAACGTCTTGTATTAAAAATGAAAAGTATGTCTGCAATGTTTTCAATTTGCAAATATTTTTCTAATCTTCACAAAATAGATAATCATCAAATTTAGGGAGAGAAATAATGGATAATTAAAAATTCAATTCTACAGTAATAGCATATAGCAAACCATTTAGATGTTAAGCGCTAGTTAATTAACTAATTAAATAAATTAGTCTTGGATTAAAAATGAAAAGTATGCCTGCAATGTTTTCAATTTGCAAATATTTTTCTAACCTTCACAAAATAGATAATCATCGAATTTAGGGAGAGAAAAAATTAGCTAATTAAATAAATTAATGGATAAAAATTCAATTCTACAGTAATAGCATATAGTAAATCATTTAAATGTTAAGCGCTAGTTAATTAACTAATTAAATAAATTAGTCTTGTATTAAAAATGAAAAATATGTCTGCAATGTTTTCAATTTACCTAGATGATCTTCAAATTAAGGAAGAGAAATAATGGATAACTAAAAATTTAATTCTACAGTAATAGCATAGAGTAAATCATTTAAACGTTAAGAACTAATTAATTAACTAATTAAATGAACTAATCTTGGATTAAAAATGAAAAGTATGTCTGCAATGTTTTTCAATTTGCAAATATTTTTCTAATCCCTACAAAATAGATAATATTCAGATTTAGGGAGAAAAATAATGGATAACTAAAAATTTAATTCTACAGTAATAGCATATAGTAAATCATTTAAATATTACGCACTAATTAATTCACTAAACTAATTAAACAAAGTTTAAAACTAGTTGATTAGAATTAATTTAGAATGAAACGATCAACTTAAATCATTTTTGTTAATTTATAAAAACACACAAAAACGAAACGAAAAACATGATATAGCTTAATTGTAATAATTATAGATCAATTCTAATGAAATATTATTTAAATTTTTATTTATAGAAAAATTAGAGTGTAAGAAAATGAAGGGAAAACAATGAGATCAAAAAGAGTTGAAAACTATTGCTAATATTTATAAATTGTAATATAGATATTTTGTGAGTCTCTCATTTTGCTTTACTTTAAAAACTTTAAAACTTATTCGAATTTTTGAAAAGCAATAAATAAACCATCAATGCCATATGTTAAGTATATATATTGTACTGATTTAAATCTCTCTCTCTCCTTCTCTCTCTCTCTCTCTCTTTCTCTCTCTATTTCTCTTCTTTTGAAAAAATTTAATTTTCGCAAAATTTTTCTTACTGCTGCTATTATTTGTTGGAAAAATTTTCGAACTTCTTTTTTGTTGAAATTTGAGGGCAAATTTCAACATTAAATTCTTAGTAATTATATCTGAGTAATTAATCATTAATAACGAAATAAACGGATTAACGAAAACCCAAAATCCGTTTTTCGTTTTCTCCTCAATGATTTAAACAATTCAAAGAAAAATATTCAACAACAGTTCATTTGAACTTTGCAAAAATGTGGCATAAACAACAAAAACAAAAAATTTCCGGTTTTCATAAATTTGATTATTTATGAAATGACTCATCAAAGGTAATATTTGTATTTTAATGCATTGGAAAATTAATTATCACTCAAAGTGCTAATTATTCTTTTACTGACAGATTTCGAATTTCTTGTATATTGGAAATTTTTTCGTCTTTAAATTTTCAAAAAATATTTTCAAATGTATTTTTGATTTGATTTTTCTTAGTGATTATTAATTAGTTTTTCAGTAATTATTTAATTAATTTTTTCATTTCAAATTTTTAATTCATTTGTGATTTATTCTTATTTGAAAAAATTCTTATTTGAACAATCAACCAAAATTGAAATCATTTTTCTACAGCAAACTTTTTCTCCCCTCGTAATTCTCATAATTAGAAAAACAATTCTTGGAATAAATTCAAAACATTGCCAATGTTCGAAATATTTAAAGAAAATTTATAATTATTGATTAGGATCATTAATTAGTTAATTAATTAATTAATCTATTTTTGTGTACACTTTGTGAATCCTTTCATTTACTACGGTACAGAATCAATAAAATACTTCACCTTGAAAAGTTCATTAAACTATTTTTTTCAATTTCTGCATTACCTGTATGAATATGTAATGTATTTTAATAACATGTAGTGAAGATATGGACTTGATTCTATCTTATAGTAAGTATGAACAAAATTACTTAAAATATTTGTCTCTTCTTACCGGTGATCATCATTTCAGTATGGTATGTCCGATATGATATTCTACAACACAGTATACATATCTGTATGCTTATCGATAAGAAATACAATGTCGCAGAATTAAAAAACTAAAAGTTACTGTAAGATGTGAAACTGATCATAAATATATGATTTGATGATGTACAGGTCATATTATTATAATGGAATTATGGCGCAATTGTCACACTATTATTCTCCGCATGAATATTCATGATTTTATTCCTTTCATAAGTTAAACTTACGTAACAATAATTCACTTTTCATTTCATTCCAATCATTATCCGTGAATATTCGTATGTACGTCTAATTTTACGCTTTTTTGATATACGTATCCTTTTTTTTCTTTTCCGTATATTCAACCGCATATTTGGCTAGTTTCCCCGTCTTATCCATGTTAGGATCCGTAAATTTCTCTTCTGATATAAGTTGAATACTTTTAAAATGAATATCCACCAGAAGACGATCAAAAGGTAACTTTGCACCATACAATATTTTCAATACATGTAGATGACACTTATCTCTATTAACGATGCCGAGACGACACGTTCATGTTCTCTCACGTACGTGTACATATGTATATATGTGTGGGTATGGGTGTGTACGTGTGCGCGCGTGTGCGTGTGCATGCGCGTGTGCGTGTGCATGCGCGTGTGCGTGTGTGTGTGCGTGTGCGTGTGTGTGTGTGTGTGCGTATGCGTGTACGCATGCGTGCGTGTGTATGTGTGTGTATGTGTGTGTGTGTGTTATGCCTGTTCGGTGGACTAAGAGATGTACAAGTGGGGCGTAACTATGTCGGTCAATGGCAACGATACGATGCGTTCTAATAATGACAAGTGTATATGTGTGTGTATGTGTGTGTGTGTGTATGATTTAATTCTGTATAATGGTCTGCTTCCCTTTCATGTTACTACTTTCTCTTTTTTGGAGAGAGCTTATCGTCCTATGAGTCGAGCTCTTTCATATGCTCTCTTCTCTTCCACTTACTTGACACACACACACACACACACACATACACACACACACACACACACACACACACACTTTGGTACACAATCATCCCATATAAACAGGAGAAGAGTAGTTGGTTAGAGAGGATAATGTGTCAGAGGTGGACGACTGGGTATTGCTTCGTCGCTCTCTTACAACATTTTTTATTAATTGCATAGTACGTTACGCCGTTGTGACGTATATTTCGTACATTAACGTGTAGGCTGACGTGATACACAAATATTATATATATTCAGTTAAACATTGATAGCTTGTATACTTTTTGAAATGCAAAGAGGATAGGTATCGTTAGAGATTTCCGGATATAATTGATACCCGAAACCTACTCTAATCAATCACTTATCATTTCACGTCTGTTACTAATCCACTAAGTGTTAAGTAACTTACAACAGTTTGCTTAATTTATTTGTGTTGGAAGAAATAATGAAAGTATGTTCCTTTCTTTCTTTCTTTCTGTTCTCTCTCTCTCTTTCCCTTTCATTCTTCCCTTTTCTTCCTTTGCCTGTCAACTAGCAGTTCTATTAATAGCTGTTTTCATCATCATCTTTTATCTGCTGGAACGAACATATATTTACATATACTTATTATATATATAAGTTCATCATTTTCTGTTCTGAAATTTTCCTGAAACTAAATTTATCTTGCTCTTAATATCATTTTCTTTTCCATTTCCATATTTCATTCGTTCATAAAATTTCATTATTGTATGAGTTGAATTCATTTGTATGGTAGATGAATTTCAGACAGAAATTTCATTCCTCTTTAAATTAAATAAAATTCATCATAGATAGTATGACGGCAATTCATTATATTTCATTTTGCCATCTGTCTTATACATCCTTTTAAAATGGATCGATTCTTTCAATATTACGATATTTATTTTATCGATTTGCTGTCGATCTTTTATGCATTGTGTTAAATTTTTTAAGTTGGAAAAATTTTTGAAAATAGCTTATTAGAATGGTTTTTTGTTATCAACTTATTTGCATAAATGTTTATTCGAACTAGCAACAGATGCATTTGTACGTAGGTCACGTAAGTTAACTGTTAGTGATTAAGATATGAGAATATATTCTGTACGTGTTATACGTGTTAAAAAAATTATTATTTATGTGTAAATAATATTTGTTAACATTTTTTATTATGGCATATTAGCCATCTGTATTTCCATAGCTAGCGTTGAATTACGATAATATCGGTAGTATTATATCAATACCAATAATCCAACAATTATTTTATTGCATTTCAATTTCACCTATTCGTAAGATTTATCACTTCCAATTATTTGCAATCTTGGCACTGAATTTTCCTGGTAAAGTTTATAGTAAAAAAATTTTTTTTTCAGTTTGACGGAAGTATGACTCGTCCACGTGTTTTCTTCGATATTACCATTGGCGGACAACCGTCTGGACGTATCATTATGGAGGTTAATTGATTTTCTTTTTTATTTGCCTAATTAACATTCTTAATTCATGACATTGATAATAACAACAGCTGGAAGTTGGAATTTTTTTTCGAGCTTTGGATATTCTGATATTAAGCATACGCTATGTATCAGCGAAGGAAAGAAGAGTTTTCCAGAAGTTTACCTAATAAGTTGACATAGGAAAGGATAGGTAGATTTTAGAGTAAATTGCTTCAAGGGAGGGAAATAAACTTTTGCTGCATGAATTAATGTTTAATCATATCGAAATATAATGCTTTCTATAATGTAATGTCAAACATATTTATGATGGGTGATAAGGCTATGCTTGAAATTTGATCTTAATAGAAATAATGGCAACAGCAGCAGTGGCAGTTATTTCACAGGTTTCGATCCTTTTTGATTTTTGAGTGTTAATATAGCTTTAATTCGAAATGGTAGTGGAATAGATATAGCGATATTCGTAGTAATTACGGTTGTAATAATGAAAAATGATAATTGTAAATAAAATTATTTTAGATTTAACATTTTTTTCAGCTGTTCAATGATATAGTGCCGAAAACAGCGGAAAATTTCCGTGCATTATGCACGGGTGAGAAGGGTTTTGGTAAATCGGGGAAACCACTTCATTATAAAGGTTCAAAATTCCATCGAGTCATTCCGAATTTCATGTGCCAGGTTTGTTATATTCATTGTAATTTTGTTATTGCAATTAGTCGATATTTAATTAAAAATTTTTTAAAAAAATGGAGATTTTAAAGGTTCACTTCAAATTTTGACATACTGATATAAAGTACCAAGTAATATTAAATTAAATAAAGCCTGCACAACCGGTTCAAGTAAGTAATTTATGGGTGGAGAATACGGATTTTTATTTCAATAACAAGCTTTCTTAGTGATTATTTTTTCTTTAAAGTTCATCAAGAAAATCAGCTAAGAAATAATTCACATAGCTAAGAAATAATCACTAAGAAATAATTCAAATAATTCACATAAGAAATCAGTACGACATCAATAATTTTTGGTGCAGTTTTTGGAGTTTTTCTGTTAGATTCCTTTCTGTGAATAATTTTTTTTTCTACTGAGAGTTAATAGTAATACAGAAAATGCGAATGTGAGTTGTAATTGCGATTAATATCGGATATATGGATCCATTTTCCCATAAAATTAATGCCTCTCATAGATATACATTACAGTGGTCCACTCAAGATAAATCTGTGACTTAAAAGAGCGAAGAAATGACCTAGTTGTTTTCAAATTTAGATGGCAGGAAAGTCAATTTTAACTTCAGAAATTGATGTAAACCTCTTTAGGGTGGTGATTTCACCCGTGGCAATGGAACCGGAGGTGAATCTATTTATGGTGAAAAATTTGAAGATGAAAATTTCAAGGAGAAGCACGTTGGAGCTGGTGTACTATCTATGGTAAGAACATATGACAATAACATAAGTGCTATTATGACCTTGCGATATGAGCGAGGTGTCGATTACGATTTCTTGAGTAATGAATTATTCAAATGCTAAATATTAGTAAATATTTCAACTTTATACAAAAACTCTTAACTTATTTCCGTTTCTTTCCCATAACAATCGGTGAAGTTCGTGGAATAGGATTGTTGTTAGCTTGAGAAAAGCAGAAATCTTGTATAAGTGAGGAAACGGTATCATGAAGTAAAATAAGAGAAGTTAGTTAATGTATAACTACGAAGAAATTTTGGAAGTTTGATAGCTCAGTGTTAAAATTGCATGTAGCACAGTTGTCATTAGATAGTTCAAGTACTTGCTATCTCTTCCACTTCGGATTTGAATAAAGCGAGCAGTGATGATTTGGCTGTGGTATTGAAATACAATGAAAAGATTATTCCAATTTTCGCTAAACAATACTGCTGAGTTCGCATCCATCGAAACTCCTGATCACTATGGAGTACGTTGATTTTCCACGTGAGGAAAGTGATCTTGTGAGGTAGCAAGTATTCTAAAGTACTTTCTAGTTGTTACGTATGGTTGGTTTTGATGGATGAAAAGATTTCAGATATATCAAATTTAATTTAGGCGAATGCCGGTCCAAACACGAATGGATCTCAGTTCTTCTTATGCACTGTGAAGACGGATTGGTTAGATGGTAAGCATGTTGTGTTTGGCCGAGTTGTCGAAGGAATGGATGTCGTACAGAAGATTGAAGCAGTGGTAAATTACTTGTTGAAAAAGAATAATGTGCGGAAAAGGGATAAAGAGATGTAGTAAATTATATGTTAAATTCTCAAGGCTGCATTTTTCGCAGTGTTTTGATTTTTCCAAGTGTTGACTCGCAATTCTTATAAACAAGGCGTGAGGAACGTAATAATATCACGAATTTTGAAGAATATTATTTTACAGGGTTCACAAAGCGGTAAGACATCGAGGGATGTAGTAATCGCGAGTTGCGGACAATTGTAAGGTATCAGACATCAATGATATGTCTGGAGGAAGCATGAATAATTTAATTTCTCTTTCCTTGTTCCTCTATGAATGTTTCAATGTTTTGCAAGTCATAATATAATTTAAGCATGTGTTGAAAACAAATTTAAGCTACGTTGCAATCTGTTAATTTTATTGATATCAAAAAAAATATATAATTTATCAAGCTTGATGAAAATGTAGCCGAGACAATCAATGTTAATTGACAATAAAATCGGAATTATCATGATGAAAATTTCAGCCGTTCGAAATGTTTTCATGCTCGAACTAGCTTTACTCAGTGGTAATTATACGCACCATCGAGAATTCTTCCGATTCTTTTTATAAAATTAATAAGTGTTCCATCTTATTGATTTATTCCATTCAAATTTTATTGTCTATTTAAGCAGTAAAGCAACTTAAGCGCAAAGTTATTGTTTGTCACTATCAAACTATGTTGTTGTCTTATTCTTTGAATAGTGGCTTAAAATTTGCTTGACTTGTTTTATATAATTAATTCATCGTGCAAATAAGACTGAAAATTTGTTTATTTGATGGATATAATATTGATGGAAAGCGTTGATATGAATATGTTATGACTAATAAATAAAATACAACAATGCTATGTGTCAGATTATTTTATTAAACAAAATTCTTTTATTGTATTACCTTTGCGTATGATTTTTAGGTACACACATAACTCCTCACATATATAGAGAGTATTGTGTAAGAGGGATGAGGTCATCAAATTGCACAATTGATGAAGGTCATGTGCAGAGAGGAGGACTCTGTAAAAATAAAACATCTGGTTAGCTGAGAGCCATACTTGTTTATCAATTACCAGAATGCGATTTTAAGGAGAGGGAGAAGAGAGTAAGTGGAGGAGGATAATTGTTGTGCTGTATGTGGCTTGCAATAAATCGATTTCAAGGATGAATGGGTAACAGGACGGTGGGGGGGGGGATAACAATAATTTAATATGTTAGAATTGTTGTGACATTTTCAATATTCAAAATGGAAGGAAGAAGTTTAATATACCCTAAGTGATGTTTTAAAATAAATGCATGCAGGTAAACTGCAAACTGGCGGGAGAAAGATACAAACTGGAAAGAGCAGCTGTCTAGCAGTTTATGTCAATTCCAGGATTTTCCATACAAAATTACAAATATTTGATAATTAATTACGATAGAACTTATTGTGTATATTAAATATTTGCAAAAATTTGAAGTTAATTTTTCGAAATAAATTAAAAATTTCAAAATTGGATTTCTGTAACTAAATTTCTGTAATTGCACCTTATATAATTAATCATTAAAGTATTTTCAATTATCTTGCAAGAAGCGTTCCACTCTTTAGCAAATTTTCGATTTAAGTTGCACGATGAGTAATGAGAAGGAAAAAACGATCAGACATTAGTTCCCTTTCATCATTATACCTGTTTCATCCTATTATTAGTCACTCTTTTTAAAATTTCTTTTGCAATAAAAATTTTAACAGTAAAATTTCATTATTTCGAAAATCTTTATGAATGAAAATTTGAATATTTTTAATAATAAATTATTATCAATAATGAAAAAATATATCAGTTCATATTTTATCAAATGATAATGATACGATCAGAAGCGTTAATTCCTATTATTTCACCATTATCACTTAAATATTTGAAATATCAGCGCATTAGGATATATTTTGAAAGGCAAGAAAGTAATTCAGGTTAAATTACTTAAGACTAACTAAAATATAGGCCTAATATTGTTGTTTTTAAAAATTGCCGATCCCTTGCAAAACGAAGAAAATCATTATCAACACTGTGTTGAGTAATCGCTCGTATATTATGCCAATTCGTTAAATAAAAAAAAAAAAACGATTTCATAGGCATAGGCGCCTAAGGATGACAAATAGGCAGACAGGCAGATAGGCCGATCTACACATACATATACATATATACACGCACACATACACACACACACATACAATGATATTAGTGATGTTAAAGGAAATGTACTTTCAAGGATGGAGGGGTTGGCGAAGAGGCTTAGTAATGCTAGCGATGATTCGTCGTCCTCTGCAATATGTTTCCGTTGCAAAATCAGACTTGTGTATGTGTGTGTGTGTGTGTGTGTGTGTGTGTGTATGTATGTATGTTTGTATGTATGTATATATATGTGTGTGTCTGTTTGTGTGTTCAATTTAGTCCGCAAAAAGGAAATGATTCACCGCGGGAGCGATCTGAGGATTAATATATCTTCTGGAATCGAACGATCTTTTTTTATTTTGTAACATAACTTGCTTCCTTCATAATTTTTCTTTTCATTTATCATTATAGATATTAGCATTGATAATATTATCGAAATTTTTAAATGAACATTTATAAGTTATATGTTTACTTACGTATAAATTAACGTAATTCACCCCTAAACATTTGATCAAATATTTATTGATTTTTCATCTATTCCATTTATTGATCATATTAATGGATATGCCATTTCAAATTCATTAATTATTAATGTAACAATTTTTTCAAATTCATTAGCTACTAGGCTATGCAACAACTATGCAACAATTTCAAATTCATTAGTTACTAAGCTATGCAACAATTTCAAATTCATTAGTTACTAAGCTATGCAACAATTTCAATTTCATTAATTATTAAGCTATACAATAATTTCATGTTCATCAATTGCTAAGCTATGCAATAATTTCAAAATCATTAATTACTAAGCTATGCAACAATTACAAATTTATTAGTTACAAGCTATGCAACAATTACAAATTTATTAGTTACAAGCTATGCAACAATTTCAAAATCATTAATTACTAAGCTATGCAACAATTACAAATTTATTAGTTACAAGCTATGCAACTATTTCAAATTCATTAATTACTAAGCTATGCAACAATTTCAAATTCATTAATTACTAAGCTATGCAACAAGTAACAAAGAAAAAAGAATGTAAGCAGACGATGATTTTAAAAAAATGTTAAATTTTCATTTTTCTTTCCATCTCTATTACTAACAACTTTTTATCCTTAATTTAAAATGGATATTTTTGTCGACAGATGAAAAAAACTTCCCAACATTAATCTAAGCAAGAAGAAGAATCTTTATATCAATTAAATGATAATTTAAAACTGTTATTTTATCATTTAATTTCAGTATTTCTTTTGTTTTTCAACATGTGGTATAGCAAACTTTATTTAACATCAACATAATTGATTAAGCTTATTAATCCAAAATTGTTAACTTTTTATTGTTAACCTTTTATGAGTCTGACCTCAATTCGATCATTATAGTTGTTCAGTTAAATTCTACATATCTCTAACATAAAATTTTCTAGCCTCAAAAACCTTTAAGGATTACTAAGCAGTGAAAAGTGATAAGCAGGATTTTGATGATAACTAAAAGTAAAAGAAAGAAGGTGGGATAATAATAAGCAAAGTAACATCTTGACAGTCATTTTTAATTTCCTCATTTGTCGTTATTCCATTTTCCATCCAATTTCTTTTATATTTCAAGGTGATCACTAAAACTTTCGTCGGTTTCTTTCTCTACACTTCAACTGTTAATAATAACTTTTCACATTTTATACAACTTCTAATGTATCAATGCAGGCCTGTTAAAACTTAATATTATTAACTTATTGCTAGAATTATTGAAATTTTAAGAGATTTTTCTTTTTCATCAATTTTATGGAGAAATTTATGCAGCTGAGATGGTAGTTAGTTATATGTGATGAGATTGTTATGGTATGGTATATGATGAGATGGTATGGTATGATATATGATGAGATAGTGTGGTGTGGTATATGATGAGATAATGTGGTGGTATATGGGAAGTATTGTTGACCTCGAAAATTACCGTTATTCTTCTATTGCTTTCTACTCTATTGTAAAGCTAAAATTTGACAAATGAAAATTTCTTTACTCTTTTAATACTCTTCTCTTTTGTTGAATTTCTCACATTAAATATTAAATTGGGATTATATTTCTCTTGACCAATTGAATATTTTTCGTCAGTGAAATTTTGAAATATATCATAGCAAATTTTTCATTTCAACTTTTAAACATTTTCCAATAGGGAATATCTCTAATCGTTTATCGATGTTATATATATATATATATATATATGTAGAAGAAACCGGGTGAAATGTAAGCCTAAAAGTTGTCAATCAAATTTTCAATGAATCATTCTGTCTATCTAAATCTTCCAGTGTGAACGAACGTTCTCTCAAGTTCAAATTATTTTTATAGTATGAGAGAATACTGGTTATATCTCTTTCTCATTTCCTGAATTTCTCCGAAATATATTTCTTCTTGCTTTTTTTATGATTTATCTCATTCTAAGTTTATTCATTGATCGGGATATGATTTGATTTCATGAACCGCCAATACTATTTGTTTGATATTAATCCTCAATATTCGGTCACCTTTCCACCAATAGTGATATTAATTCGGTCACCTTATCACCAATAGTTCGGTAATAGAGAGAAGCTTTAAAGATTTTAATCAATCGATTGAATTGAATTCGAGTATAATCGGAAAAGCACTGATATGTAGCAAGCTTTGTTTGCACTCATTCAATCATTCATTGTTATGTATATGAAAATAATAGTATTGCATGCTTTTAATAGCGATAAATTTTGTCATACATATTTATGACTCTTTAAAGGTTTCACTTATTCAATCATTCATTGTTATGTTTACATTGGAATGAACGAATGGAGAACGGCACCTCAGAGATGCTTGTTTACTTTCTCCGCATAAGCATTCATCTTTTTCACTGATAAAAGTGAACAAGCGATTATACATTTATCGAATATTATCGTATTGCAATTTTTCGATTTGTGAAATTATTTCTAATACCTGGACTAAAATTTTCGACAGCAATTTACAAATACAACGTATCTCAATTATTTTTGATACTTGGACTAAAATTTTCGACAGCAATTTACGAATATAACGTATCGCTCTTAATTGTTGGTTTAATTATTTTCGACATATTTGCTTGCCATTTCGTATAATTCATCAGAATGGTATAATGCAATTGAAAAGAATTCCGATATTAGTTGTAATTTGACTAAAAAGTTCGTTGATGATTGATTTTGCTGAAATTGTAAAACTTTTCTAATCTAAGATGAAAATCAATTTCTTGCTCGTCACTCTTTAAATTCTCTTCATTTTTGCTCACAATTTCTTACAAAAATGATAATTCCATAAAATACATGTCTTAGTTTGATTTACTAAACTTTTAGATAACTTTTATATTTCATATCTATCTTTAACCCAAACAAAAAGTAAAACAACTAACTGAAACCAACAATAAGTTATTAAGGAGAAGAGATGAAAATTGATATACATAGATTTCGTTCAGTGCAATCATTTGATAATGTAAAGAATATTATTTACAGAAAAAAAAGTAATAAAGGTGGATCGATGATATCCCTCGTGCTATTTGTAAGCATTAATATGCAAGACAATACTGTCATTATGTGGTATTAATCAGTAGGATTATTAAAGTTTCTGGTCATTGGTGCATTTTAATCTTTTCCATCCATTATGACACTTACATGTGTGACTCCCAACTCCGATAATCTTCTATTGTCAATCATCTAAATGATCATTATGATGATTGGTAAGACTATTATTAGTCCGATCTTGATCTTAACCGATCAAGTTTTTCTTTAATATGTGTTTGAAATATTTCCTCCAGAATTTTTTTAACCTTCTGAAGGCCCAAAAATATGAGAAATGTCTAATGGCTTCTATCTTAACGATGATGACGATAGTGATGATGGTGGTAATGGTGATAATGGTGTGAATGATAGTGACGGTGATGATGATTATGATAGCGGTAATAAAAAATAATGATGATAGGATAACACGACAATGTGCTTTGTCTATTTTTTTTGTTCCCTTAAAAATATGGGAAAATTGTTTATACATATGTGTATGTGTAGTATAGCTAAGGAAATAATTGCTGTCACAAGAGACTGATTAGTCATTGAGGCATTGGTAGGCCATGTGGAATAATAGTTTACAAGGATAGCAAAGCAGAATAACTTGTTTATAGATATAGCAAAGCAGAATAATTTTTTGTTTTCATTTTCTTGCGGCATATAAATAAAACATTTTAATTTACACCGAAGTTTGCAATAACATTCACAAACTTCTTTCAAGTATCTATATTGCTATTGACACTATTTTTGACTCTTTTGTTTTTAAAATTTCCATCTCAAAGATCTTCATTTAAGAAATTTCATTTTATATGTGTAATTGCTATCAAGAGGAAGTCATGATAGCTTTATAATTTTCTATTATTGATTCGACCATTTTTTATTTGTTTTACTGATTACTTACAAGTTTCTTACACACTTTATCTTACGCATATCTTCGTTTCCTAACACTTAAAATCTTTATTTTTCACTAACGTATCGCTTGCTATCTTATTACCAAGAAAAAGAATATCGTATCAAATTGCAATAGTTCATTTATATCAGTGTGCTAAATACTCAGCAATAATTCACAATAATATGATTATATCAGTGATAAAACTTTATCTTTCACTGACGTATCACTTGCTATCTTATCGCCATGAAAAAGAATATCATATCAAATTGCAATAGTTCACTTATATCAGTTTGCTAAATACTCAGCAATAATTCACAATAATATTATTATATGAAGTGCTATCAACATTATTTATAAGCGTGATATTCTTACAAGTATCAGTGAATAATTAATATTCATTATGGAATAATATACTATTTGCAGATTATCCAAATTTTCGATAGTATTCGAAATGTCCGACCAGAGATCATATGTTAGTGATGGTTTTTCTTCTAATTCTTTTTGCGCTTATTTTTCTTTTGAATAGTAATTACACGATAATTGAGCTAGTGATGGATAAAATAAATGATGGAGATTGATTTGAACTAGCTATTTCATTATAAAAACATTAAGTGCTGGTGATGTTTCCGAAGTATTATCTTCAATGACACATTAATTTCATCTACATTTTTCAGCCAATGCAGTTGCATCAATCAAAGACTGATGATGTATACTGTCAAAATGGCATATATTTAACATATCCAATCATATTTAATGAAAATATTTATTGAAAAAATTGATTTAATAGTCAAAATTGAATTATTTACAGCCAATTCCATATCGCAGCCAGCTACAGGAGAAGATTGAACCTGGACAAACACTGATTATTAAAGGATCAACAGTTGATGAAAGTCAACGGTATATGTTAAATTCAGTTTCACATTGATTTTATTTAACTTAGCTTAAAAGATATGATATTTTTTGTTTGTTCATTTCTATCATCCATATTGACATAATTTGATTTGACATTATAAGAACTCCTTTATTGTCGTGTGAATGTAGCTATAAATACAGAAAAAAAGAAAAATAAAAATTCCCATTACTTCGGAAAGAAATAGTTGTGTAATGATATCTATAATGTGATTTGTTATTTGGAAGGAAACGATGACTTGCATTTAATACGTTGATATGTTCATGATAATTTGTTCAGATTTACGATAAGTTTGCACTGCAAATCGGCAGACTTCAGTGGTAACGATGTGCCGCTCCATGTTTCGGTGAGATTTGATGAGGGCAAAGTTAGTTATTATTTATATTAATCTTACACTTTTACAGGATATTTTGACAATATTTAAATGATTTTAAAAGCGTAAATATTGAAAGGTATTCTGAAAATAGACATCTTTCGAATATTAATGAGTTCTTGGAGATAGATTGATTATTACGCCATGAAAAAAATCACTCCATTACCGTAATATTAGTTGTTCTGTGTGAACTGTCAGACTTCACGTTTACAGTATTTTAACTGATGGAAATAGTAGATAACAAGCAAGTCAGTAAATAGTATGTACAGTGGGAGAAAATAGTAATATGTACGCTGTTTGCAGATTGTGATGAATAATTTTGCGAACGGAGAATGGGGCAAGGAGGAACGCAAGAGCCTTCCGTTCAAAAAAAGTACACCTTTCGATATTCGAATTCGAGCGCATGATGACAGATATCAGGTATGAATCTCTTTCATTTTACGTCAGCAGAATAGTAGCATCATTGTTTTGATCAGCTGTGGAGTATCTGGTATCTGCAGAATATATAAGTGCAGAAAATTATCCGAAGACGAAATAACATGTTACTTGTGAATTCATAGAGATACGTCGGAGTTGAAATCTGAATTAGATACCCTCCACTTGATAGTGGAAAAAGAATTTAATAGGAGTATTAAATCGGATAGAGGACACGAAAAAAAATGAAATCACTTTGACAGAAATGAAGATGAAATTGTTATAGATTTTCTGCGATCAGAAAGAATTCAAAGATTTCGAGCACCGCTTGCCACTCTCTACCGTGTCTCATCTATCAATTGATGGCGATTTATATCTTAATCAAGTGCACTGGGGTGGAAAATATTATGTTCGTTCAGTTTTTGAAATTCCTACTATTGCAATTGAAAACACCGAATTTCATTTTAATTAACTTTCATTAAATTGAATGAATCAGTGCTTTTAAATAAAAATTACAATTAATTTTAGCCTGTACCTTATGAAAGTGGTATTTCACAAGGTTTGAATGTCGGCAGAACGCTATTAGTATTCTTATGCCCGGAAAAGAAGGCAAAACGCTTCAATATCAATTTGTTAAAAAAAAATGGTGATATTGCACTGCATTTCAATCCTCGCTTCGATGAAAAGGTTACTTTTCCATCAAGTACTTTCTGATAATTAAAACCATAGAGTTTCTATATTTGAGTCCGAAGTAATTACCATCAATTCATTTGTTTAAAAAATTAGTTTCTACAATTCACTATGAACTCAGCGGTCTTTTTTTGGTTGGAGAATTTCTTATGTTTATATTCATTAGTGTACATTCATAGTGGAAAAGCCATTGGAAAATCCATTTATATTTTTTTTACCATTTCTTTGCTATTTCAGTCAGTCATTCGCAATTCTCTTCAAGCTGGCGATTGGGGTCATGAGGAAAAAGAAGGTAAAATGCCGTTCGAGAAGGGCGTCGGGGCTGATTTGAAAATTGTCAATGAAGAACATGGATTCCAGGTTTCTTGAAATTTGAAATCAAAAATCAAATTTGAATTGTCTTACACCATTGGAAAGTTAGGAATTTAGTGGAAGAGAATTCCAAGTTAATTTTCAAGTTGAAACAATCGAAACTAAAATTATCATATAATAGTGATAAAGTTTGATGTTGAAATGAGGAGCTGCCGCAAAAAAGATTTAATGAAGCAAGTTAAGTAATGACACTTTCCTGTATTGACATAATTTTCTATATTTATTTTCATTCTGCATCATTCAGATGTATAAATAAATCATTGCAGATTTTTGTGAATGACACACGATTTTGTGCATTTGCACACCGTTCCGATCCTCATGATATCACCGGTTTACAAATTCATGGTGATGTCGAACTTACAGGCATACAAATTCACTGAAGAAAGAATGTCATTTTATCGATATCATACATGCTTATCTTTTCAATTTCTTTGCTAAATTTGTTTCTTCACTAGCTTCCTTACTGTAATATTTTTTATTTCCTTTATCATATTTAATCGAAAACTGTTCTCGGATAGTTAATATCTATGTAATATCCGTATGCTGCATTTAGTTTTGGTCAAGTTGATGATGCCTATTCTATTCCGGTTATACGTGTCTCTGGAGCGATGTAATAGATTTTGATGATTCTTTTTTTTCCTATTTTTAGAGCCATTAACTTCCTTTGCTACTATTTACCCATTTCGTTTCTTTTAAATGTGAAGTTCGAAAAGATTTTTATCTATCATTAAAACATGCTGAAGTTTGATTTCTATTAAAATCCAAATTAAAAAGGCTTTAACTTCAAGCAGCTCTACGTAACGTGGTGTCCATTCCATTCATATCCATTGGCATTTCATTTTTTTTTTCTCGCGTATGTTTTAATATATGCAAATAACTGCGTAGCATTAGTGCGGATCACAAGTTGCTAAATTTTAATTTTGTAATCCTCATTTAAATCAGAATACAATTTTTTACGTGTGATTCTGTTTTTTTCGTTTTAAACATCAAAAGTATGTTGCAGCTTCTAATCACTGAAAAAGTTGACATTAAAATTAATTTTGAGTTGTCTAAAATGTTCGCAGGAATTACTATCAGATTAAGTTTAAACTTTTGCTAAGCAAATGAAATTACTCAGTAATCTGGAAAATGTTTACTTCATCCCTGGACTGAACGATATATTAGTTGCAAAAATTTTGGCAAAAAAAGAAATTTGGTCTAAACGATCGGAGGAGTCCTTATCCATTCCTGGTTTGCAAATAAACATGCAGACATTTCAGGAGGAATGTGTGAATACTCTAATTTGTGCACGGGTCATCTTATTTCGTAAAAGACGCTTTGTTAAATAATGAAGTCTGTTTGACATATGCGATTTCAAGATTTTAACGAATTAAGCAACTTTCAGACTTTAGAGAAACTACTGGGTGCGGTTTCGGGATTTCTTATAAATTATTTGTTGTGGAATGGTAGTTGTCTCCACTACCTCTAGTGGTAGAGGCTCATCTATGGTTTTGCATATCGAACAAAGCAATAAATATCTGCTCGTTTCTTAGTGGCAGCATTTTAAGGATGAAAACAAAAAATTTGGTCTGAATGACTGGAAAAAGTATTTCAGGATGTCTTCATAATAGCATATTGAAACAAACGTTAATGAAGCAGGTGGCCGCAAGAGTAATGATAAGGATGGAAACCGCAGGGTTTTGTGAATGTTTTCAATAAAACAGAGAGCATCATCTCAATTCAGCATGTGGAACGATATTTGGGAAATCTTGACAGCAAAGGTCTTAACTGTCTTAACTGAGACTTGAGTAGTAACAGATCGAATTGCCACTTCTTTTGAACTGTCATTTTTGAAGAAAAATTTATCCGGCAGATGTGGTACTCGAGAAGTGTTTGGATATTGGCATTGTGTTTATTGCAATTTGCTGCTATTTTTCTCTTTATTTCCGGATTCTTCTCCAAACAAATACGTTCATATACAGGTTCGGAAAGCAGTGAAGATGTGAACAACTTTCTTGATGGTAAGGAATCGAATTTATCATTTCAAAGATAGGAATTAAAAGGTAGAATAAGCTAAATGATTCGTCAAATAACAATATTGGAATGATTTGGGGATATCTTTTGCTGTTAATTTCATCCATGTCTTATTAAGCAGTATTTTCATTCGTTAACTTGCTGCTTTCTTTCATTTTGCATTGTTCGGATACCATTTAACAGTTAGTTGTACCGATCTATCACTTTGTGATCTGTTTCTATCTCAACCGTTCATTTAAGCAGTAGTTGGTATTACCAGAGAAGAGATCCATAATTCGGAGTTACGAAAATCATTAGTTTTAATTAAAAAATTGTATTGTATATTTTGATGATCTCCGTATTCATTTTCCTTTAATGTTCTATTTCAGAATGTCCTCATAATAACATGTTGAAACAAACATTAACGAAGCAGACGGTTGCAAAAGTTGTGATGATTTTAATCGATGCTTGGCAAGAGCAGTTTTTTTATGGCCGAAAAACCATGCAATTTTTACGCCAGCTGACGAGTAATGGCCAAGCTGTAGCTTTCATCGCTCATGTACAAACGCCTACCGTAACAATGCCAAGGATTAAGGTAGGCATTTATTTTAGGTTTATTTTTTTAGGTATTGAGCCAAATCAAATAAATCATTTAGCATTATTTCAGGCAGTAACAATTGGTATGGTACCTTCATTTGCCGATGTAGTGATGAATTTTGCATCCACTTCCATATCAAACGATAATATCATCGATCAACTTAATGATAAAGGTTACAGGTAAGAAAAGTTAGTTGTTTTGAGGAGGCATTATATAAATAAATGTTTCTTCTACTAAGAGTTTAATTTTATAAATTAGAATTATTGAAATAAAATATTGTCATTTTTCAGATGCACGTTTTGCGGTGACGAAACATGGATGCACTTATTTCCCAGTCGTTTCGATAACTATTCAGTGGGGGTCACTTCATTCTACGTCAATGATTTCAAAGAAGTAACTTTAGCCTTTTGATAGTAAATTCTTCCAAAAACGTCTTCTTAATTCATAGTTCATATTAGTTAAGCACACTTTGCAATGATGGTTCTGTCGATTACCTTACTTTTTGCTTTGGTTACAAAAAAACCATCGCGAAAAATACATCATAGTGTTTAAAATGTAAAATAAAGTTGGATATTTTATATTCTCCATCGGGCAGTTGAATTAATGTAAAGTATTTATAGGTCGATGATAATGTGACGCTCTGTATGCGTTCAAGGTTTGAGAATAGCGCTGTCGATACGTGGGATGTGATGATTCTGCATTACTTGGGACTTGATCATATAGGTTAGATTGGGGAAAGGACCCAAAATAAACTAAAATATATTTATTTTAAGCTGTTATATTTGTACATTAAAAAAATGCATATTGGCCCCCCTATAATTTACTGGGACTTTTGATTTGAGACAATCTGGTTGACTTTGTAATGATTTTCTTGAAGTGGTTGCAAGAAACATTTTTTCTAGCATTGAATTTTTAATACAAAAAGGATGTAAAAATAGAAATTGCGCGAAGTTCAATTTTAGGACATTCTCTGGGTGGCACACACAGCGAACTGAATAACAAGCTTATTGAAATGGATTCTGTTATCAAAGAAATCTACGACAAGCTTCACGAAGTATGATTCAAATATGCTAAAAAATAAAATAACAGGAGCTGACAGAATCGAAACTTGGAAATTTATGGATTTGAGTTGAGGCAGCTGCTCGGTTTGGCAACTAGGTAGAATTCGGTAATTATAAAAATGATTAAGGAGTGAGGAAGAAGTCGAAACCAATTGAACAGATATTATGTTCAATGATTTCAATATGTTTGAATGAATTGTAGATCATGAATAGATTAAAAGAATGAGATATTACTGATTAGATTTATAGACTTAAGTTGTTGGAGAAAAGAAGATTAAATCAAACAAATATATCAATTGGTGTAATTCAGGTATACGGCACGAACTTTTCCATAATTGTATTTGGTGATCATGGAATGACCGAAGGTGGAAGTCATGGTGGTTCCTCAGAATTAGAAACTCGCGTACCCATTGTTTATGTTGATGGAAAAAAACGGTGTTCTAGCAGCGAAACGTTGTGTAGTAATTTTCAAACGTTAATTTTACCACTTTCAAGATATTACAGATTTTCTGCATGCTAAGGAGTTAACGCGAATCATCTGTAGTAATTCGGGCATTAGCATTGATGTAGGTGTGATAAATACGCTTGAAGAGCAACATAAATAATAGGAACAAACATCAGTAATATACTAGGAAATGTTTATAGCTAGAAAATGGTAATTTACATTTAAATATTTAATATTTTCAGTTTGAAATTTAATTTAACACATATAGAATAAAGTGTACTATCCTTCTAGAAAAGCTTTGACTTACTTCGGAGGTTCATTTTCTTTTTCATTCGATAACGACAGGCTTTTATTTACATCTTCCATAAGCAATTTTCAGTTCCTTGACTTATCATGTGGAATGAAGTAAGAAGCAGCATCTTTTCATATTATCAATTTTCAGAAGCATCGGTTGAACAAGTCGACATTGTTCCAACATTGGCAAATCTTTTCAATGTGCCAATTCCGAAAGAGAATCTTGGTGTTACGCTTTTGCCTTATATTGGCATTGATCGGTCAAATTTTTCAATGCTACCATTAGTACTGCGAAACGCCGAACAGTTTCGAAAATTGGATAGAACATCAGGTAAATAATATTACTGTCGTTTTGTTCAAAAGTTTTGTTGCTCTTACAGAGATGCAGGGCGTTGGTCAAAAAAATTCCGAATAACCATAGCAATAAGCATATTGAAGATGTTAAATTGACGTAGAAATTGTTGAAAATAAAAGATATGATGAAGATTAGCTAGGATTTATTGTTCGCTCTTTTATTTATGTGTTAGTAACAAGCCATGTAGTTCGTTAAGACTTAGATGATGTCATATTTATTTATATTTGAAGTCACGATATTATTTATAGATAAGCTAAATCATTGTATCAGCCGTTCTTATGACATTTTACAAAAACATTGTGCAATGAATGTTTCTCTAAATGTTGATGGATTGATTGGGGAATGTTTGGAGGAATTACACAAAGTTCAATCGCAACTTATACGTTTGAAAACGGATTTCGGTAAAACACAGATAATGATTGCTATTGGTCTTTCTTTCACGGTATGTTTTTTGAATTACCTGTTCTTTAGTGTATATCTTTTTCTTAACTCAAGTAAGAAATTTTATCAATAATTGTTATTCGAATATTTTATCGATTGACTGATTGGGTACTTTTTCTGGATTATAAAAAGGAAGAATAAAGCGAAAGGTCTTGTGGCCCACTATTGCAGACATACTGGGTTAAACTTGTGTTGCCTTCTGTGGACTTTTAGATTACTAACATATATAAAAAGTTGATATAAATTCTCGGCCTATTAAGTTTATTAAAGAACGGAGTAGTTTACGAGGCATTAAGGATGAATTCAAATAGTAGTACGTTGCAACCTACGTTCCGAAATACTGGAAAGATTTTTTGCTTAAAGGAATGAGCTTCATGTCAAATGAATGCGAGAAAGGAACTGACATCATATACTTTTTCTTTAAATCTTGTTTATCTATTGTAATATTGTATTATTGCAGTATTTGCTTTGATAATATAGAAATATTTTTGCAGGTATCATATATTTGTGGTTCTTTGCTATATTTTAAATATTCACATAATATCTATGGTAAGCGTGTCCTGAAAATAAGATCTACGTTGAAATCTTGCTGACTCTCCGTTAAGTCTTTTACCAAGTTCAGCGAATGTTCAACTAGCATTCTTTTATTTATAAAATTCATATTTGAAAAAAATATTTTCAGCTTTCAAAAATGGAGACCTCTCAACATATTTAGTCATTTTTACGCAGTTATTACATTCTGTTTCATTTTTCTCATCAAGTTTAATAGAAGAGGAGCATGATTTACAGTAAGTTTTCTTTTATAAATGAGCAATTCTGATACTATTTGATTAGATCGTACAGTTGGAATAATGAAGTGACTCATGAGGTTATCACTATAAGAAATTATAAGTTCTTTCTCGCAGTTTCTTTTGGTTCAATCCGTTTATAGTGATGCCACTAAACAGGATTCTATTTATTTTCTCTTTCGATTATATTAAATTTCAAAAAACCAAAATGACACTTATTCCTTCATTCTCTTCAAATAAACTTCAAGGTTTAAATTCAAAGTCTAAATCTATTGGTTCAAATTTTAAAATTGTTTGAGGAGAATCCTTTGCAGAAATACTGCATATGATGCGATTACTTAGCCATATAGCCGATATTGTTGCCAAATTTTGCCTCATTTAATTCATCCATTTTTCAGTTATTTCTTTTTCGCTTCTTGTCTTTTTGTTATGTTTCTGAAAGAAATTCACGTGTGGTTGCGCAGTCGTAATAGCAGGCAAGTTTAATTTGTTCTTTCCACCGATCAATTTTTTTTTTGATAAGAAAATTTGCGAAGTTGCAGAAAACGTGCCACAGAAAATTTTTCTAAGCAGCAAGCATCAAAATTATTATTCTTGAATTAACCAGACGATCTTCATATGTTGGAGAAAATAATATGAACCACAGCTACATTCGTTTTTATTCCAGTACTCCTGATAACCCAACAAAATTCCGGAAGATGATAATTATATTATTTTTATCAGTAATTCATCGTTTATGTCGTGGTTACACCGAATCAAATCGGCGACGTTGGATCCTGGAAAAAAGTATTAGTCGCAGCAACAAAAGTCAGTGGTTCCTGATTTTCATCTTAACTTTCTAATTTACAAATTATTCGTAAGATTCTCATTACATTTTAAATATTCCAAAATGGAGCACCGGTATTGCGGTAGTCATGATAGTACGATATTTTTTAAAATGATTATACCTGAAAAGTTCAGGATTTTTGAATTCCTCAAAAATGTTTTCATTACTTTATGTTTTTACTATTGAAATTTCAATCTGTCCATATGCTGCGATATTTGGTTAAATGATTAAATTTAATATCTTTCGGAAGAGGGGGGAATGTTGAACCATATCTACTATTCAATAAATAGAAAACTTCATGCACTAGTGTATAGTACTGTTCTGATTACGTTGTATTCTTTTTTTAAGCTAATTTGATGAGTTATTACGAGATTTTAACGAGCATTGGTGGTTCCAGCGGCATGCCAGATATTGCGTTTTTATTGTAAGTCCTTATTTTCCGTTTTCATGAATGATTTGCGATTTATATTTTTATTCATTTTTTGAATGTAAATTGTCAAGGTTTAATCGAAAATGCTGTAAGAGAAAGGAACTTCGACTTTTTTCTTCGTATATTGTAGAGAATATATCATTTATTTCAAAATACATTGATGATTAGTATTCATGAAAATGATGGTCGCGTAATGGGAAACCAAGTTGATAGCTTAATTGTTGTGAGTAATAAATGTATAAAAAAGGCTAAGTGATATATTAAAGCGATCCTTCTTATTTGTAGATTTTTATTTCTGAAATATTTGATTTATTACAGGAAACAGTTCAGTGTTTTGCGCTGGATTTCCTCTTCGTTGTCTCTAATTTTGGTTGGCATTGGATTAATTTTATGTTATGATAAGAGAACAAACCATCCAAAACTTTTGCGTTCCTTAATATCAGTTACTCTATTGGCAACATTTTTGGTTCATCATTATAAATTTCAGTAAGTCTTATGTTTTATGGTTGTCTGAAATTTATTTCATAACTTTCGGCGGAGTTGCTGGAAACCGAATATAGTGATACTTATTGCTGTAGTGAAAATAGTCAATTACTCAAAACGTAACTGAAAGGTAGTTTGATTCCTTTTTTTCCTGAAACAATGAATGAATAGTTCTAGATGATGTATTAATAGATTTTGCAACTAGTCAAGTGAGTTATAATTCAACTTCGTTATAACCTTAAGGACAAGGCTAAGGGTTAATATCGAGGCAAACAAATTTATAATCCATTTTTTCATTAATTAATTCTTGTGTAAGAAATTTTCAATTTCACATTATACAGGGCAATATTTTTGATGGTATTTTTGTTGAATATATTTTTATTGCTGTTACTTCGAGATCTATTCCTAAGCTTAATTGTCTGGGCAATACTTATTATGCGAACATATAATCTACCACTTGCTATTCTACAGTTCTTTCTGGGATATTGTTTGGCTTGGATAGATGCGGCACCACTTTTGGTTATCCGTGCTATCTTTTCTTCCTTTTTTTATTTGGTAAGTTTCATGGTTATTAAATTAGTTGTCTTTTTTCACATATGTAATTTCTTTAGTTATTGTTTGTTATCGTGTTATGCTGACAATTCATTGGAAATCTTAGACATATGTTTTAACCTTACTTCATTAGCGGTAATTAAAATCATATCGATCAAAATTTGATGTTTTGAACCAGTCGGTTAAACACTTCAGTTTGTTAAGGCTTAGTTGAAAAGGACTGAACCTAGTAATGGTCTAAAATGACCATGAAAATGTAAAGCGAATCT